CAAATCTTTATCAAGCAGGGATCTCAATATACCTACAGAACGGAATCTGCTTGGACATATCAGCTGGATACGTGAGCTCATGGATATAGGTATAGTACATAATGTGCAATGGTGTGATACTAGGGATATGACCGCAGATGGGCATACAAAGGGAAGCATCGATCGGGAGCTGCTTCTGGAAGTGATGTCAGGCACTCAGTCATTTAAGTATGACGTGAAGCAATTTGTTCCCTTTCGGGGTCCCGAGGACAGAGACAAACCTAAGTCTAATCAATTTTAGTCTGTCCTTGTTGCCCTCGCGGTCCAATTTGCCTGCGCGGGCGCCTACTATAAAATACTATAAAGGCGCCCCTCTAGTTGCTCGGAAACGAGCCTTATATTTCACGCCTGGCAACGAGCCGGCTTCGTACAACTCAGGCTCTTTGCCTTAATACACATTAGTTTGGTGAGGTATGGCCTGTTTGGCTTACCTCTAGCTGAGCCGATAGCCCTTCATTGTTTGAAGGGGCTGTCTTGTATTTGCGTGAAATGCTTTGCGAGGAAACTCGCCTTGCAGTCTGGTGTTAGGCCAGACTGTACGCACTGTTTTCCTTTTTGCAAGCAGTCGTGCGCGCGACCGTTGCGTGCGACTATGCTCTCCGTCTCCTCCCCTCCCGACTTTAAGGGTAGGTCTTTGGGAGATGTTATAGTATCGGGAGCATAGCTCGCGCGCGCCGTTGCCTTTGGCCCAAGGCACGCGCGCCCTATTTGCCCGGACACCGCGAGTGTTCGCTATGTGCTGGAAAGATTATTACATCGATCTTATTATCCTATCTTATCCGTCCACCCCTCATACTGTACCTTCACAGCAGAGCGATGGGCGCAATTTGCCAGGCTATATGCCAGATTTGAGCTACCAGGCTCACTTTCGACTCAGCGTACTTCAGATCAGCGCAAAGAAACGCGGAACAATGCAACACAGCGAACAGCAAGGCACTGCAATGCAACGCAATGCAAGTCAACACAAGCAAGGCAATGTAATGCAACACAACGCAGAGCAATGCAACTTAAACGCAAAGCCATGCGAATAAACGCAGCGCAATGCAAAACGGCGCAGCGCAATGCAAAGCAATGCAAAGCAATGCCGACCAACGGGAAGCAATCCGAAGCTAAAGAAAGTCAACGCAAAAGTAACGCAACAACGCGCAACGCAAAGCAACGCTATGGCAAGCAGCGTAGAGCAGCGCAACGCAATGCGAAACAATGCAGTGCAAAGCAGCGCAGCACAGCGCCAAGCAATGCAAGCCAGTCGGTAGCATGGTAATGTAACGCGAAGAAACGCAACGCCATGCGATTGAAATGTAGGGTGGTTCGCAAACGCGGCGCGCGGGTGGCGGCGACGGGCGGCAACGGGCGGCGACGAGCCAGTCGACTTGCCATTGTGGCCCAGCGGTGACGGCAGCGACGCGCGCCGACGGGCGGCGACGAGGTGGCCGCGCCGCCGCCGTTGCCTTGAATTTGTTCTAATGAGACACCTGTGCGCGAGCATTCCTGGTGGACAACAACAACCATAGTTTACCGTGTACTTGGTGGGTGGATTTGATACACTGTGCGTTGCGATTGCTTTATGTGCGTTCTCAAATTTTACAAATTGCGCGCGAAGTGTCTTATCTTGTCTCGCGCGGCTTCCACGGGTGGGAACGCTGAATCGCTTGCGCATTGCGTTCGGAAGCGGCTGACCCAACGCGCCACGGGGGCCTCGAGGCCGCCCTGGCGAGGCCCCGGCAGCGCGCCCGGGGGCCCGCCGGGAGATGACGCCTCAATCATGCTTCCAAGGAACCTTCAGGTGAATAGCGCTTGCGCAGCTCACTTCGGGGACTCAGGGTGCTTCTCGGCTGCCTTTTCGGCAGCCCCGTGGTTTTCTTGCGGTTTCCTCTCGCGCGGGGCTCTGAGTTTGTCGGCGCCCCGAGTCGCCGCGGAGGCCGTCGGCGTTCGACGGCCCCTCCCCGATGCCGCCCCGGGCCGCGCAGGGGCCTCGGAGGCCGTCGGGGGCGAGTGGGCGAGACAACGAACGAAGCGGAAGCATTTAGAGTGTTGAATAATGCGGGCGTTTCTGAAGCATCGCGCGAAGGATCCACAGCGACCTCGGGCCGTCTGAAGGCCGCATCTGATGCCGATCGAAGCGGGAAGGGCCGCCGATCAACGCCACGCATGCCTAGCAAAGCCAAACAAGGCCAGGCAACGCTGGGCAGTGCTAAGCAATGCCAGGCAACGCCAAGCAATCCCAAGCAGTGCACGAAGATGCTAAGCAAAGCAAAGCAATGCCAATCAATGCAAATACAGGCAAGGCCCAGCAGCGCCAGACAATCTCAAGCAACGCAATTCAATGCACATGAGTGTCTGGCGAAGCCAGGCAACGTCAAGCTGCGATTTAAACCGAAGCAGAACAGGGCAATGTCAAATCCGGCCGTCGATGCGAATGGGCGTTGCGGGCGCGGCGCGCGCCGCCGCGACCCATGGCGGGCGCGCCCGTGGAGGGCTCGGCTTGCTCGGCCGACCGCGGCGCGCGGCAGGCTGGCGCCGTCTGCGTGGTCGATTAAAGCGAAGCAGAGATGGTCGACGCAATGCCAGGCCAGGCTGCCCGCGGTTGCTCATGCGACGCCGTCGCGCCATCCAGTCGGGCGTAGGTTTTCTGGCCATGCAAAGGTGCGCGGCGGCCGGGCGCGCCCCCGCGGCGCGCGCCGTCGCCCCCGCCACGCACTTCGCAGCGTGCCCGCAACAATTCCAGGCCCCCGCAGAGCGATTGCGCGAGGCCCAAACCCGGGGCTTCTCGCGGCAGGCGCGGTGCTCGCAAGGTTGGGGCGCGCAGACGGGAGCGCGGCGCTGCTCGGCCCCGGCGGGGTACAGCGGCTCCTGCGCGCGCTGCGTTGGCCCCGGCGCATCCGACATCGAATTTGCAGATGAGCGGCGCGGCGCTGGCGGGGGCCTCGCGCTTGCGGGGCGCGCGCAGGGGCGACGCGGATTTTTCAAATTTCAATGACGCGATGCTGGAGTATTGGTCATTCCAATGCGGCGCTTTCTGGCCGTGCTCGACGGCGGCGGCGCAGCGAGCGCTGCTATGTCCCAGACAGCGCCGCCGAGCCGCAGAGTCTGGGGGGCGCCCGCGATGCCGAGTGAACACGAGGGCTGCGCAGCGGCAGCATCCTGGTCTGGAAGCAGTATTTACCAGAGGGGAGAGAGCAGCAAACGCGAGGCGCCCGCAGCCGATCAACAGGAGCAGCAACCATAAAACAAACTTCGCGCGCGCATCCTGATCGCCGGCGCGCGACGCGACGGCGAAGCGGCGACGGGCGCCCACCGCCCGAAGACCCGTCAAATCCAGCCAGCACGCAACCGACGCGCACCAAGTGCAAATCAATGCCCGCCAGCCGCCAGTCACAAAATTGATCCCACGCCAAGTGCCCAGCCAAGCACTTCTTCTCCTACGCCGATTGCCCAACCAAGCACATCTTCTCGCTCGAAGGGTGGCCCTATCAGCACCAATGTAAATGTGTATGCATATACGTATACAGATGTATATGAGAGAGGTGATATTTCCCCAGAAAAATGTACGACCCTGCCCCCCGCGCCGAGGCGGGACTTGACAGTTTCGCAAGCGCGCGCTCGCATTATATACCCACGTGACGGGCACTATGCTTGTTCATCAAAATCTCTTGGCGCGCAGAATTACGAAGGTATTGATGATGTTGGCGGGCAGCGGAGGTTGTGGCGATGATGACGATGGTGACGATGATGATGCCGATGGCAATGATGACGGAGGCGACGATGATGGCGCCGCCCTCTGCCATCGCCGCAGAGGGCATCTTTTCGAGCCTAGGTTTGCTGAGGAGCACGGCGCCGTCGGCAGCGCAGGCGGATCCGCGCATTCGAACGGCCGGCGCGGCTGGACCCCTCCGCGCCTCCGCCCGCGCCCCTTTTGCCCGCCCGACTACTCCCGCGCGGCCGCGGCCCGACGCCGCTCGCGGACGGCCGGCGAAAGTGGCCCTCCGCCGAAAGTTTCAACAAATGATGGCTGGCGCCCGCGCGCAATCGGAACCGGCGTCCTTCTCCGAATCCGCTATCACGCGAAGTGGCGGGCCCTCCTGGCGCCCGGGCATGTCCCAGGGGCTGGCGTGGCGCAGGTCCGCGCGAACATCGCGGTTTCGAGCGTATCCGTCGCGAAGCAAGCTGGGCACCATGCCCTTGGCGATTATTTTGCAAATCGGCATCGCGCTGCGGTGCGCGACCGCTCTGCAACTCCCGCGCGGGCAATTTATGCTGGCGTCGGCGAGCCAGCGGCAGCGAGCGCGTGCACTGTGGCGCAAAAGGGATGTCGGAAGCGGCTCCTCGAATAGTTCGTTGCCGATAATTTCTCTTCGCCTGGCGCTTCAGTCGCCTGAGCCGTCGCGGTTTGGCTGGGCTGGGCCGGTTCGGGCCAGGCTCCCGGAGCGCGCCCGCTGCCCGACGTCGCCGCCGCCGTCGCATCTCTGGTCGCCGCGCGGGAAGCGCTGGAGTCGGCGCGATTTTGCTTGCTGGCGGCGCGCGCGGCCATCTCGCAGCGGCCCGCGCCGCCGGCTGCCGCGCCTAGCGCCAGCGCGCTTGTCGCGTCGGCCTTTCTGTCCACGCCGACTTTGGGCGCGCGTCGCGCGAGGAATTATGGGCCGGCCTGCGATCCGAATTAGCCGGGACTTTGGAAAACGCCAGCTCTGCAATCCAGGGCGCGGCGGCGGCGGCCAAGAGTCGGCGCGCGAGACAGCGCTCTTGGGGAGGCATCCTGCGGGGGAGGGGGGGGGGCGTTGCAGGGTCGATGATCGCGGCCGTGAAAACCTCGGCGCCGGCTCTCTCTCTGCGTCTGAAGAAAGGAAAAATGTCAATGGCAATTATTCTTCTGTCCGCGTGGCCGTCGAGCGCCGGGCTCCCGTCGGGGGGGCTGCCCTCGCAAAAATCAAAAGCATTGAGCAGAAACAGAGACAGGCAGAAACTCTGATGTTCGAGCAGGCGCACCCGCGCGGAGGAGACGAGCGCGTCGCCCAGGGTAGCCAGCATATGCATCGGCAGGCAAGCGAAGAAATGCGCGTTCTCACTTCCGTCGCGTTGGATCAGTTATCGGCGCGCTGCAGTTGCCGCGCCGCGCCCGCGCGCGCGGCGCCGGCGCCAGGAGCAACTCGCGCTCGGGAAAATGGCCCACGACATGAGCCCGCCGCGGAATGCTTTTGTGGAAGAAGCTGTGCAGGCACCTGCAGAGACGGCGACTCGCGTTGCCCGTGCAGTCCCGGTCGAGCGCGCCAGACGCAGCGCGCGCGCGACCAGGTCGATGTTAAAGTCGCGGCGCCAGCGAGCCCGTTTCCCGCAGTGGCAGATCTCGTGGAGGTTGGGCTCGCAGCGCGCCCCAGCAGCGGCCGCGGCGGTGCGCGGTAGGACATGGAAAAGGATTTAGACGATAAGGAGGCGCAGGCGCGAACTTCACGAGCACCGAACCTGTCCGCGGCAAGGGGACCGCGCGCAACGGGCGCCTCGTGGGCGCGCGGCTTCCAGCGAAGAGGCGCGGGCGAAGATATTGGGCATGCTGGGGGAACTGATCGAGGAGTGTCGTTGTGAATCGGGCGCGTAGAGGCGCGCGGGACGTCGCCGGCTCCGTCGCAGGCAGAGGCGGACATGGTCCGCCTGGCATTCAGCGCGGCGCCAGGCGATGCGCCATAGCCACGCATTGCGTATTTTGCGCGCAATAGCGCGCCGGGACCACGTGCCCGCGCGCTGCCCGCGACGCCATTCCGCGGCAATGGCGGCGGAACGCCCTGGGGAATAGTTGGGGGGCGCCGCCCGTGCGCGCGCCGATCGCAATGCCGCGCATGCGTTTAGGCGCACGTGCCCTGCGTGGACAGAGGGGGCGCCGAGGGGCTGCGCCCAGCGATGAGACATCCAGGTCGCATGTCACATGCGAGAATTCGTCTGTGGGCGCTTCGTCGAAGCACCGTCGGTTCAATGCTCTTCGCGATGTAACATTGAGCAGGCAGTCTTCTCCCGCGGGGGCAGCCCCTCCCCGCTCCCTTCGTTTCTTTGACGCGACGAGGAGGGCGACGCATTTGCCACTGGCGCCGCCCAGTGACGAGCGCATTCGCCGACGGCTGTCGCGCTGCAGCTGGGCCCGCCAGCTCCCGAGGTCTTGCCTCGGCGTTCGCGGCGCCAATCGCCGGAGTGGCGTTCGGGGGCGGCGCGGATGGCGCTCGCGCGAATGTGGATTGCATTATGTTATGTTTCGGGGGCGGCGCGCGGGGCCGCCGCCGTCGCTTCCTGGCAGCCGGCGCGTCAAGCCGGGGTGCCCATGACAATTCACGTCGCGTGCGATGGCCTGCCGCCGCGTCGCGCCGCGCCGCGCGGCGCGCGATCGACGGGGCCTCGTGGGCTGTTTCTTACTTAGTCCCAGCATTCGGGCCGTCGGAGGAAATCTCAATGTTGACAGCGCGCGTCGCGGATCAAGAGGGGTCGCGGCTGGGCGCCCTCGCACCAAACCGGCGACGCGTCGGCGAATCTCCCGCGCGTCCCAGGAGGAAACGGAGCGCCCCCGATCGGCGGGAGGGGCTGCGCCAGCGACGCAGGAGCGAGACAGCGGACCTTCGCGAGGGCGCCCCGTGAGTTTCCAGCGGCAGGGGGCGCCGGGCAGCCTCGACTGCGCACCGTGGCAGGCAGCGCCGCGCAGGAGTCTGCTGGCGCGCGAGGAGAAGGGCCCTCCCGCGCCGCGAGCAGCTGCTTTTCCGTATTGTTTCTTTCCGCTCGAGCCTCGCCGCTCCGCCCTGCCCTTGCGTTCCTTTTTGTTTCCTCCGTTCTCGAAGTTAAGAGCGGCGGGCGTCGCCGCTCGTCGCCCGAGCCGCCTCCCGCCCCGCGGTCCGCCGGGCCTTCTCGGGCGCGTCGCCCCGCGGAGCTCCTTCTTGCTCTTGTCGCAAATTGTCGTTGGCCCTTTCGTTCTCCCCGCTACCCCTCGCCCCTCGTTCCCCCCCCCGACGAGTGCCGCTCGCGATCGGCCGACCGTCGGGGCGCGCAGCGCGGCGTCGGGCGAACGACGGGGGCGGGCTAGACCCATCTAGCCCGCTTTCGCGCGACGCAAGGAGGCGGACAACACGCTCGCGTCGTCGCGCGCGGCGCCAGACGACGCGGCGCCCCAAGGCGCTTCCGCGGCCGCCGCCAGTTCGCTGGAAGGGGGGCTCCGCCGCGCGCGCGCCACTTCGGGTTCCAGCGCATCGGCGAAACGCGTGGAGGTGCCCGTTCAGCCAGCGTTCTGAGGGGAAATATTGCTTGCCGCGCAAGCGGCGAGGTTCCCTTTCCCAGATCTAGCCCGGGCAACGCGCAGCCGGACCCGGCGGAAAAAATGCTGAGATCGCCCGACTTCACATGGGCGCGGGTGCCCCGGTGCAAGCGCGCACCCCCCTTGGCAGAAACGCGCCGTTGGTTCGCGCCCGCCCGGGCGAGGTAGCGCTGCGCGCAACGCAAACGCTCGACGCGGATTTAACTTGATCGGCGCAGGCGCTCCCGCGCTGCTGCGATGGCGGCCCCTGTGCGCGGCCCCCATTGATGCGGCTTCGGTGCTTAGCTCATGCCAGGCAGTCACCAAGTAGCCCAGCGCGGGCGGCGCGGTTTGCGCCGAGCGATTGCCATCGCTGGCCCAGCCAGAGGCCCAGGACATTTCGCGCGCCGCGAGATAGGCGGCGCCCCATCCTTGAGCGCCCGACCTGCGACTCGCACGCGCTAACATGGCCTTGACAGCGACGGCATTTGCATTTGTTTCGACATGTTTTTGCGCCGCGCCCGCTGTCGGCGCTCGCGCTGCAGGCAAAGGTTCCCCGCTGGATGACGTGGGACCATCCGCGCGATCGGCGCGCCGAGTGCGCCCGGGCCAATGGCGACGGAGGCGGGGGCAGGGCCGCTGGCTTCGCGGGCGGGCGGGGCGGGGGCGGGGGTCGAGCCTTCGCGGTTTCGGCCGAAGAGCGGGAGGGGGCTGGGGCGAGCGCAGGGGGCAGCAGTTCCGCGCGCGCATCACCGCGGCATTCCTCGCCGCAGCGAGCGCCGCGCGCCCCGCGCGAGGGGCGCCCCGTTTGCCGCGGGCCGCTCGGCGAAGGCGCTCGGGTTTCGCAGGATCCGTTTTGCAGAATGCTTTGATTTCAGGTGCATCTGATCTGCCAGAGTCTGGCGCGGAGCGTCCGCCAAGTCGACCGACCAGCCGCGGCAGAGCTGCGCAGAAGCGCAGGCAACGCGAGGGCGATCGTCGAAGCCATCGGCGACGCGCCTGCGGCAGAATCGCCTTTCCTCGATGTTCGAATCGACCCTGTGTGCGATCGAGGGGGGGGGGCGCGCCAGCTTTCTCGCACACCGCGCGGCGGCCAGGCCGCGGCCGGGACTCTTGGCATGCGATCGCAATTACAATGCTTCATGCCCCGAGAATTTCCTAAACGCGCCTGCGCCTGGGGCAGGTTGGCTTGTCCGCGCCGAGGCGGGTCTGTCTGCTGCGGGCGCCCCATGGCGCGCGACGCGCAGGCGGCGGCCCCGTCTGCGTAGCCAGCCCTGAGCGCGCGCAGTTTTGCACTGCGCCAGTAAAGGCGGCCCATCGCAGAGTGAAGTGTTGGCAGGTATGCTGGCCCATGCGCGGACGAGTTGCGCGGGGCTTAGCGTCGGCCAGTGAGCAATGCGCGCCCACCTAGTGGCCTTCGCGATGCATGGGTCGCCCGACGCAGACTGACAGCTGCGCCCTCGGCAAACACGCGCGTGCTCGAGCCGCGAACTTGCTCCAGCAAGTGCAAGCGCATCGCGCGTCTGAGCCGCGTCGGGCCATCGTCTGAGACTTCCTCGCCAACTCGCCCGCTCGTTTGGCGCAAGCCAGTCTGTCCGATGCGTTCCAGACAGTCGCGCTGGCGAGACGGCGCGCAGTTCTTGGAAGAGTTCACCGGGAGCGCGGCGCCGTCGCGTCTTGGCGGCGCAGCGCGCGCATTTTTTCCGAGGACAGCGCCCGCGCGGAGAGTGGCGGTTTCACGGCTTCGCCCCGAGCTCGCTTGTCGCCGAGGTCCCAGCAGAGCCTCCAGAAGGCTCGCGGGCGCCGTGAACAGATTTGAAGCTTGCGTCAGAACGGCCCGAATTCAAAGATTAAGGCACCACCAAACAGCAACCTCGCGCCCCTTGGCGCTGGCGGGTCGGAATTGACGCGTCGGTCAGGCGCGGAAGTGGGTCGGCGCGGGATCGGATCGTCGCGGAATCGGTGCGCGATGGGGTCGGCGCGTCATTGGGTCGCAGGCTCGGTGCGTCAAGGACTCCGTGGCATCGGTGCGCCATGGAGTCGGCGCGCTGGTGCGTCGCGGACTCGGTGCGTCGCGGTGCAGGCGCGTCGCGGAGTCGGTGCGCGACGGGCTCGGTGCGTCGCGTCGTGGTCGCGTTGGTGCGTCATGGATTTGATGTTTCGCGGAGTCATTGCGCGGCGAAGCAGCGCCCTGCCCAATTGCGGGTTCAGTTCATCGCGCTCGACGGCGTTGAGCGCGCGTCGCTTTCACGAAGCAATGCAAAACAAGGCAAACCGACGCAAAGTTATGCAACGCAACGCGAATCAATGCAACGCAACGCAAGGCCATGCGAAGCAACCCTGCGTGACACTAGATTAGGCAGCGCAACGTACTTCAGATCAGCGCAAAGAAACGCAGAACAATGCAACACAGCGAATAGCAAGGCACTGCAATGCAACGCAATGCAAGTCAACACGAAGCAAGGCAATGTAATGCAACACAACGCAGAGCAATGCAACTTAAACGCAAAGCCATGCGAATAAACGCAGCGCAATGCAAAACGGCGCAGCGCAATGCAAAGCAATGCAAAGCAATGCCGACCAACGGGAAGCAATCCGAAGCCAAAGAAACGCAACGCAAAAGTAACGCAACAACGCGCAACGCAAAGCAACGCCATGGCAAGCAGCGTAGAGCAGCGCAACGCAATGCGAAACAATGCAGTGCAAAGCAGCGCAGCACAGCGCCAAGCAATGCAAGCCAATCGATAGCATGGTCATGGAACGCGAAGAAACGCAACGCCATGCGATTGAAATGTTGGGTGGTTCGCAAACGCGGCGCGCGGGTGGCGGCGACGGGCGGCAACGGGCGGCGACGAGCCAGTCGACTTGCCATTGTGGCCCAGCGGTGGCGGCAGCGACGCGCGCCGACGGGCGGCGACGAGGTGGCCGCGCCGCCGCCGCTGCCTTGAATTTGTTCTAATGAGACACCTGTGCGCGAGCACTCCTGAGGGAAAACAACCACCATAGTTTACCGTGTACTTGGTGGGTGGATTTGATACACTGTGCGTTGCGATTGCTTTATGTGCGTTCTCCAATTTAAAATTGCGCGCGAAGTGTCTTATCTTGTCTCGCGCGGCTTCCACGGGTGGGAACGCTGAATCGCTTGCGCATTGCGTTCGAAAGCGGCTGACCCAACGCGCCACGGGGGCCTCGAGGCCGCCCTGGCGAGGCCCCGGCAGCGCGCCCGGGGGCCCGCCGGGAGATGACTGCTTCAAGCATGCTTCCAAGGAGCCTTCAGGTGAGTAGCGCTTACGCAACTCACTTCGGGGACTCGGGGAGCTTCTCGGCTGCCTTTGCGGCAGCCCCGTGGTTTTCTTGTGGTTTCCTCTCGCGCGGGGCTCTGAGTTTGTCGTGGGCGCCCAACGCCATCGAAAGCGCGCGCGCTCGCTTGTGCTGCGTTGTGCGCGGGCACAAATTTCGCGCCCGCGCCTGGCCCGCGCGCGGGCGGGCAAGCTGGGCGCGCGGGCCGCCTCCCGCTTTCCT